AAGCATCTTAACATCTGAATGGGTTGCTGAAACTAGTGAATGTACAGCCACACAGCTTCCAAACAAATAAATAAATGACACTATAATGAAAATGTTTACTAAGCATACTAGTAGCACCCAAATTTCTAACCTGTGTCTTCTACTAAAAAGAGAAAAAACATAATTCTTTGTGGTGCCCTGCACTTAGTAGCTAATACCATTAAAATAGCCTGCAGTAGTAAGACCCACTTTGTCTACGACAAATATCTAACTTAAACAAATAGTGATAGTAATTGGTGTGACGCAATAAACATTTAAATATTTGTATGTATAAACACATGGATTAGTAAGCAATCAATATTGTTCTGTTTATTTCACCAGAGTTCTCAACAATAAACAGTTTACTTTAAAATATACATAGTACTTGTTTGTTCATTGGATTCCGGTATTGCTTTTGAGTTCTGGCATGCGAGTACTGCAATTAAAACAGAACTTGCCATTACCATGGCAGCACCAGCAATCTCTTCTATAAAGATTGTTCTGTGAAGAATAAAGTAATCAAAGATATAAGACATGACAAGTTCAATATTAGACAGTAGAACAACGATTGATGCCTTCTCACAAACGAGACTGTTTAAAAACAGTGACAACTCTGCTAAATCGAAAACTACAACTGCAAATATGCAAGCCCCAGTCTGGATGTCCACTATCCAGACAGGAGTATTTACAATATACATTAAGACAATGCTTAAATATACACCTATGCATGTTTGATAAAAAATCACCACAGGAACCTTAACTGTGCTGTTGATGGTTCGAACAATAACTGGTGAAACAGAATAACATATTGCTGTTATAAGGGCCAGAACGTATGCAGTCTTCTCATATTTTGGTGGTCTATAATTTGGATAGTCCTTGTTCGTGGAATGTTTCCCAAATATGAACATTGGAAAAGCTATTAATAAAACTCCATTGATGTTAATAAGTGTACACAGTACCTCGTGTGGTTTCCATTGCTCATTAAGGAAGGCATATCCAATGAGTGCTGTCATGATGGGCATAGTGGCATTAATGATCACAGTTGTATTGCCAAGGGATGCCCAATTAACTGAGTACACATAACATGTGTCACCAACAAATAAAATAACACTGTTTGTAAACAGCAGTAGATCGGTTCTCTCGTCAAAAGTCAGTACATTCTGCTTCTGAATAGCAATAACAATTGCCATAGTAACTGATATGCACAGATGGGAGATGAAGATAATTTGAAATTCTCCAATGCCATGAGCTATTACTACAATTGTAAACATGCCACAGGTGGCATGGCTGATTCCTGAAAGGAGAGCGAAGATGACTGACACTGTGGTATCACAGCGTGATTGACGCTTTGTGCTATCTTCCAATTGGTCGATCAACATAGTCTAGAAAAACAACAATAAACATGGATTAGATATATGATTAAAGATAAAGTTGGTTTATTACATCTAATTGACTCCCGTGAAGAAGCACACAATGGGAGTCTTTACAGTTAGTGTGTCTGTCTGTGTGTGTGTGTGTCTGTTCCACTGATATCTCAAGAACCATACATAGGTTTTTTATGAAACTTGGTGCATAGATGTTCTGGGCCAATGCACAGATTTGATTAGGTTTTGGTTGAAATCTATGCATATTAATTAATTTGCATGATAATTAGCTCATTTTTAGCTGTTCCATGACTGTTCCACTGATATCAAAGAACCACTCATTGGATTTTGATGAAACTTGGTTCATAGATGCTCTGAACTAATGCCAGGTTTTGATTAGTTTTGGGTGAAAATCTGTACATATTAATTACCTAATTTGCATTTTCGGCTTTTCCACTAATATCTAAACTTCTAATCATCAAATTTCAATGAAACTTGGTGTCTAGATGTCATAGGACACTGCAAAGACCTGGTGGTTTTTAGGGTAATATCCGTACATATTAATTACCTTCTTAGTTTTACACTCAAATCTGTTCATTTTAATTTTCTGAATTGCATAATTAGTCTTCAACTTTTCCATCAATATCTCAAGTACAAGTAATTTTGAATTAATTTTTACTATGACTCTAATACTCTCAGCACATGGAAGTTCTTTCTAAGCTTTCTTTGATTTTACTACTATTGTCGGGTATTTAGAACCATCAATCTGAAATACTTTTTTGTTGACATCACATTTGGCAAACAGATTTGATATACAGTTAGGTGAGGATATCCATTTCTTGATTTTGCTGACAAGCTAAATTCAAATTCAAATAGAGGTTGGATCTGATCGTTTATTTGGAGTCTGTACAAAATGTTTTGATGAAATCTATTGAAAAGTATACATCTCGTATCGCCCTCTAGTATATATAATTTGCATAAATCCAAAATGGCCATCATAATGCCTTAGAACGTCATATCTCTATCTCTATTTAATATTTGTTCATTATTTAAATAGCAGTATCCTTGTTTAAAAGTACTGGGTGGTCTTGTAAACTCAAACTTTCATTTTTTATTACATATGACTCAATAATATAATAATTATATAAATGGGTTCCCCCTGTGTTTCCCATTTCAAGAAATGAATTAAACAATGTATACTCGCCTATTGACAATTAGATTGCAGCTAGTTATCACGTGTATTTTTTCACCTGGTTAGAATCTTTGCGTTGGGTTCATGTAACCCCCTTGAACACTATATTTTCCTGCCAAAATGTTGGGGCATCATTCGGCACGTTCCTGTTGATCTAAGAGAATGTATATAAACATACAATGATAGTGGAATTAAGACATAACTACAGAAATATTGAAAATCTACAGCACTGTTTTGTAAGGTACAAATACCTCACTCATCGGAAGCTTTATGTATTAATAATCTTTATATCTAAATATATTAATAACAATTATCTAATAATAAACAAGAATTAAATAAGTAGTAGTACTGAAAGATATTAGAACAAATAAATACAAAACAAAGGAAGAATAGTACTATAAAAGTAATGAGATGAAATGCAAGAACGCCATTAAGTACTATCTTGGGAAGAAAGTGAGATTTTGAATTTGTTCTTGTTTTCTGCTCTTAAGGAATCTGCAAAATTATTCCAAAGTATATGGCCAGCACACGTTATTGCAAATTTCCCCATTGAAGTGTTCATTTTTGACACAGCTAGCCCCCCCCCCCATTTTTCTGTCGAGTGTTGTATGAAATTAGAAAAGAGGAATTGGTGAATCCCAAAGTCGTCATTTTCTGCGTAGTTAAAATACTTTTCCAATGTTAACAATATGTATTTTCCCAGATTTCTAAACCGTATTTCAGTGGAACCTGATTCATTGTATTACTAAGTGTGAAGAA